CTGAGAAAGGCAACTTAGAGGAGGAAAGGTTTAGGTTGGCTCTTGATTTCAGAGGCTTCAGTTCCACCGTCAGCTGGCTCCATTGCACCTAGGCCTGTGAAAGAACAGAAACATCACAGTGCAGATGCGTGGCAGAGGAGAGCTGCTCACCTATGACAGCTGAGAAAGAAAGAGATCAATGGCACAAACCAAAGGAAGGGCTGGGGGCCCGATACAGTCACACTCCCATGATCCACACCCTTCAACCAGATCCCAGTTCCTGTTTCTATCACCTCCCAATAATATCATCTATTACTGAGAGATGATATTATCATCCACTATTCTCTAGAAACACCATGATCTCTAGAAACACCACAGGCACATCCAGAAGTGTGTGCTTTACTAACTTCTTAGGTTTTTCTTAATCTAACCAGGCTGAGAATCAAGATTAACCATTCTACAAAGTAATCTATGGGATGGTACTCCATAGGGTTTTGGAGGATACATCTATACACAGCAGCCCTAACAGCCTGGCCGTACATACTAAATAGGTAGAGCGAACAAGTTCATCAGAATGAAAGGATACAGGAAAGACATACATTGAAATGAATACAATAAACAACTCAAAAATATAAAGCCTAATAGAGATATGAAGTCAGGCATGGTGGCACATGCCTGTAATCCCAGCATTTGGGAGGCTGATGCAAGAGAATCACTGTGAGTTCGAGACCAACCTGGGCTACAAAGTGAGTCCAAGGCCAGCCTGAACTGCAGAGCGAGACCCTGTCTCAAAAAAAAAAAAGAACTCTATACTACCATGTCACTATACTCTGGATTATTTACTACTAAGTGTACAGTAGAAGTTCAATTATTTCCCTGGTAGCTTGAAAAATGCTACTAATAGACATTGTCTGAACCATTCAACATTTTATTTGTTTTCCTTAATGGAATCAAGAGAGTCAAAGGACGAAGATTGGCAGGGCTCTAGGGTGTTGAGACTGCCTAGAATTGTCCCTTCTCTACTTTGTCTCTATCCAAGTTTAGAAAGGTAGACATGCAGGCTGCCACAACACCATCTCGGCCAAAGCTGTTAAAATGGTCACTGCTGAGATTTCAGAAAGATAGAATTAGCCTTCCAGGTACTTCCTCTGCTTGAGCTCATCTGTTGAATCTATTTCTTTTTCTCTTTCCCAAATCTCTCTTCCCACACTACTTATTCCATTTTCACTGCTAGGGTAACTATGCATATCCCTCTAACATGCTTCTCTATTCTCCCACCCATTCAAGTGGGTTTCATTCATTAATTATACACCTAAGTCCTACTTCCTCTGGAGAACCTATTATAGATTAAACTACACCCTCCCAAAACGCTTATATTGAAGCTTTAGCCCCTCATACCTTCAAATGTAACTGTATTTGGAGACAGGCATTTGAAAAGGTAAGGTAAAAGGGAATCATTATGACAGATCTGAATCCAGTATTATTGGCGTCTTTTTAAGAGGAGAAGATTAGGACTCTTTGGGAGGTCATGCATGCACAGAAGGATGATCATGTGAAAAGAAGCAAAAAGGTAGCCTTCTACATTCCAGAGAAAGAGGTCTTGGTAGAAACCAACTTTCTCAGTACCTTGGTATTGGATCTCCAGCCTATAGAACAGTGAGGAAATAAATTTCTGTTACATAAGCTACCTAGACTATGAAACTCTTTTATGGAAGCCTTAACAAATTAAATTCCACTTTGGTACTCACACATAGGATGCTGCTGTAACTAATACCTGAAATGTGGAAGTGGCTTGGGAACTAGGGAATGCACAGAGGCTAAGGGAACTCGGAAGGGCATGTTAGCCAAACCCAACTTGTCTTGCAAAAACTGTTGGTAGAAATATGGATGCCAAAGGTGATTTAGTTGAGGTCTCAAATGGAAATAAGGAACATACTATTGTAACTGGAAGAAAAGTAACCCCCAAAACTTGCTTGCTTTATTTCCAGCATTTTGTAGAAGGTAGAATTTGTAAGTGCCAAATTAGATATTTCACAGAGATTTTTAAACCAAATGATGAAGACACAGCTTGCTTTCTCCTGACTGTTTCTAGTAAAATGCAAGGAGAGAGAGCTAAACCAAGGAAGGAATCATTAAGCAAAAACAAAACCAGAACTTTAAGATTTGACAAATTTTCAATCTATCCACATTGAGAACAAGAAAGAGAGAGAAACAGAGGAAATATACTCTGGAAAGAACATGGAGGTTGTGGCTGGACACAGTCTAATAGCATCACACACACACACACACACACACACACACACACACACAAAGGTTCATATGCAAAAGGCTTGGAGTCCAGGGTGATGCTATTAGTAGCTGGTGGAACTAAGAGGTGGGGCCTATTGGGAGGTCCTCAGTTCCTTGGGGGCATGAGATAATTCCCTCTTAGCACTTCGAGTTCCTATAGAAGGAGAGGGCCTGGGCCCTCCTGTCTTCTCTACCCCTGGCTCCAGTGTACCCACATGCTCATTCATGTACAATCTCCCTCCCACCGTTGCTATCTGTGCCATGGGTGATGCAGGCAACAGTGGTCTTCACCAAAAAGCTATGCTCTGACATTTGGATTTTCAGCCTCCCAACTTTTCTAAGAGGCCTGATCAGGTATTTTGCCATGGTAACACAAAGCTGACTAATACATTCACTGGACAATATAATGATAGGTTATGGGTGTTACTCGTGGATTCAAAACCCAATTCAACAGGTCTGCTGCCATCTTGGACTAAAGGTGACAGGGATAGGATGAAATGAAGGACAGCTGACGAACTTCTGGGATTCTACAGGTCAGACCAATAGAGCTATCCAACTGCAAACAGCTACAGAAATACCATTCATGGGTCCAAAAATCAGGGGTGGAAATCAGAGTGATTCTACTCATTATTACTCAGCAGCAAATTTCTGACTTCCTGTCTGTGACCTTATGATCTGATGGCCAAGACATCTTAGTTCCAAAAGAAAGAATTCTTCCACTCTGAGACATAACTGTGATTCCACTGCAGTGGAAGTTAAATCTGCCACTGGTTCACTCTGGGCTCCTCATGCCTCAAACTCAACAGGCAAAAAAGGAAGTCACAGTGACGTGTGGGGTGACTAACACTGACCACCAAGGAGATATCAGATTGCTACTAGAGAAAGAGCATGCCTGGAACACAAGAGATCCCTTAAAATGTCTCTTAGTGGGGCTGGGGATTTAGCTCAGTGGCAAAAGTGCCTGCCTGGCAAGCGCAAGGTCATGAGTTCAGTTCCCGGTACCGGAGAAAAAAAAAAAAAAAAAAAAAAAAAATGTCTCTTAGTATTGCCACAAACCTGTCATTAAAGTAAATGGAAAGTGACAGGAACTGAGTCCAGGAAGGACTAGTAATGTACCAGATCACTTAGGAATAAAGGCTTGAGTCACCCACAGGTAAAGAACCACAAGTGAGTGCTTGCAAAAGGCAGAGGAAATGTGAAATGGATACTGGAGAAAGGTTATAAATACTAGCTATGATCCCACGGCCAGTTACAGAAGTGAGGATTGTCACAAAAATTTCTTCCTCCTTTTATTATGAATATACATTGTGTGTTTCTATGTTTACCTTTTATCTCTTCATCATGTAATATAAGTTCAATAACTTTAATCTGCATATAAGTATTGTTAACTTTACACAGTAATATTTAATTCAGGGGATATCAACAAGAGGAACTCTTTGAGAAACAGTTAATGCATTTTCAGTTATACACAGATAATTACGTTACAAAACGCAGAAGTATGACCTTGTTATTGTCTTTATTTACAGGTTAAATTTAGGGCTTAGGGATTGCATACAGGTACCAAATTAACAAGGATGCTAGCCCTGTAATGTTACATATATATCCCAAGCTGGTTGAGTCACTGTGCCCAGACATTTGGTCAAACATTAGTATGTTTCTGTGAAAGTGCTTTCTAGATGAGTTTAACACTTAAGGAGGTGATGGCGAATAAACAAAGCAGTTTACCCTTCATAATGTAAGTAGGTCTCATCCAGTCATTTGAAGACATTAATAGAAAATTAACCTTCTGTGAGCAAAAAGGAATTTTGTCGACTGCCTCTGGACTCAAATGGCAGCTCTTTCATGAGCTTCCAGTCAAGCAGTTCACCCCAGCAGATGTGGAACTCACCACCCTTACACAATTGCATAAACCAACTCCCCAAAATAAAGATAGATAGACAGACAGAAAGATAGATAGATTGATGGGAGATAGAAATACAGATAAAGATAAAAAATTGTGCTTTGGTGTCCTTTGGGTATTGTTTCTAGGATTTTTGTGGATACCAAGGTCCACAGATGCTCAAGTCTCAATGAAATGGCACAATATTTGTATATAACATGTATGATCCTTCCATAAGCTTTATATGATATCCAGATTTTTTTACAATAGCTAATATAATGTAAACAGTTATGCTATATTATTCAGGGAATAATGATGAGAAAAAGTCAGTGCATGTTCAGAACAAATGAGATTTTTAAAAAATATTTTCAGTCTATATTTAAGTCTTATCTTCCTAAGTAGGCAATAATTTAAGATTAAGATTGCAACTTAAAATCCTTTGCCTCTTTTCCTCATCAGCCCACAGTTTTTGTCAGGAGCTCCAAATTATGTTTGCTGAATTGGCAAGAAAGGAGGAAGAGGATACCATCAGAAGGCTACACAGGACGTCTTGGTTATACTGACAGATGTTCTTTAAAAAGCACAGAAAAAATCTTTGCTGATTGCATTAAGGTTTCCACATGAGAAACTGATTACTGATTGTTGTAAATTCTCCCAAACACCCAGCTCCGTGATGGCAATATTTTGGTTCACTATGTCCTGCTTTGGTAAACTTGTGATTATTTATATAATTACACATTTTTTTCATCATTTGTGAACATCAATTCTAAGCGATGACACTATTCTATAACTACCAATAACTATTCTATAACAAATGTTCTCATATTAACTCTCCAGCTTTGGAGCCACTTACACCATACTTTCAGGTTCCACTGCACAAGCACCAACGGCTTTGGTGACATTCACAAGAAGAGCTTGGTTTATTCCAACGAGGAGGTTCACGAGAGGCTGAATGCCACCACACTTCCGCACAATGACTCTGTTTTCACGATCCTGGCAGCATTCTCCCAAAGCCCCAACCACATTCACAAGCACTTCTTCAGGCTGATCAGTTAAAAGTCCCACCAGAGTTTCAATGGCTTTGTATTCCCGAAACCTAAATTTATCACAAGAAAAGAGAGTTACTTTTAGTAGAAAGCTGAAATTATTAATAGTAATACAAGTAACAACTAAGAATTACTAACTGCTAAGACCTTCAGTCAATCCCTGCAACAACCCTCAGATGTAAGCACTATTTAATCTCCATTATCAAACAACCAACTGGAAGCTTGGTAAACAGGAAGGCTTTCCATCACAGCCAGCTGCCTGCTCCTGATCTATGCCCTGAATCTCCAAGCTGAACAGCCTCAAAGACAAGTAGGCTTGCATCCAGTCTGAGTATCTATGACTCCACTCAGCCCAGGGTTTACCTCCCACATTACACAAACTACTTTCTGAACAAAGGATACTAAATATTTCATGAAAATGAATGTATATTAAATATTTTTCCTTTTAGATACATTAAACATGACTGTTTGGGCCAATAAATCTCAAATAAGTAGTAATTTGTGCTACTTAGATAGAAAAAAATCTGTCAGACACAGTTACCTTCAGTACTACTAATACATTTAGCCCATCTTTTGTCCATGTGATTTCATTCTGATTTTGTTCACTATATATTTAAGCCACAAGGAAAGTATGATATATAAAGGTAAATATTTGAGACAGTTTCCATATGAAACATTTTTTCTAATAAACTTCAGCAGTATTTTTAAGTATGATGCAGTGGAATTTTTACTACTGAAATTTGGGGAAACTTTCAATTAAGATAAAAGCTTAATTATCTGAGGTTACTTATAATGCATTCATAACTTCACCATATATTCTTTATTCAGTAAACTTATTTTGTGTTCGTTGGGACCTATGATTTTCTTGTTAAGGGAAATTATTAGACACAGAAAGTTTCCTTAAAATACCCATTAAGAATGTGAACTCAAATATATATAAAGAGATAAATGTAATGATTAGAATAAATGCAATTTTATAAGTACTCTTCAGGAAAAAAATACAAATAATTTAAAATAAAAATTTTGTGAAATCATATTTGAAAAATACTCTTTAAGGGTGCCTGGTTGGAATTGAGCTGACTCATTTGTTTATCTTTAGAAAATGAAAAATAACAGAACCACTTTCTTTCTCTAAAGACTCAGGGAGACATTCCTCCCCTCACCTTGGCAGGTCTCTGCAGGAAACACAAGAGATTTCTAACTGAAAAGGCTAAAGCAGCCCGTTTGCACAGAAATCACATCGTAAGCCCTTCTGCCCTACTCAAGGACATAAAACCACTGCCTGGTCTGGACTGAGCAAAGCAGCCTTTCATTTCTAAGAATCCCCTCATGTGCCAACTTAACCCACACAGTGTGCGTCCCTGAATGGCATTAGTCAACGCTTTAAGAAAATAGCATGAAATTCAAAGGATGTGTTCCAGTGGCCGTATCTGTATTACAGAATATCAAGGGTGCCTTCTCTTACTTGGTCACATTCTCTTTGCTGATGGAACATTTCCATATGGCCCCTGTGACAGCAGCTAAGCGCTCTTTATTGTCTGTGTTATTGAGAAGACTGGCCAGGGGTTTGAGTCCTCCATGTAGCCTGACCAGGTCCCGGGTTTCCTCGTCTTCAGCACACTGCACAAAAGGCAAACCAGAGGCTATCAGGGATCCAGGTAACTCAAGCATACAGTGATGTTAAAGAGGCTGCCATTCTATAAATGGACCTCAACTTAACATGGTTCCACTTAGGGTTTTTCCATTTTGGGATGGTATAAAATGAATACACATCCATAGGTCTTTTCCTGCTTACTGATACTCTACATCACACTCTCTTGCAATGCTGGACAGCAATACCGAGCTACAGCTCCCACCCAGCCACATGATTATGATGGTGAATGACCACTACACCTAGGGTGCTATGTTGCTAAGCTGTGATGTTGAGTAGTATAAGAGTACAGTAGCGGGGCTGGGGATTTAGCTCAGCGGCAAAGCGCCTGCCTGGCAAGTGCAAGGTCATGAGTTCGGTTCCCAGTACCGGAGAAAAACCAAAAAAAGAAAGAGTACAGTAGCATTTTCCTATGAGACATTAGCCAGTGCATTTTCAACTTACAATATTTTCAGTTTACCATACTTTATCATGATGTAACCCCATCATAAATCAAAGAGCATCAACTTCTTTTCAGAGTATCATTTTCTGAAGGTGCCTCTAAACAAAACATAATTCTTGCTGGTACTATCAGCCACCTGACAGTGTGGCATTCTCCTTGTGTGGTTTTTGGGGAGGCTCAACAGCTTCTACTTATTTGGTACTTCTCCCTAGCCAGTTCAGAGGTACCCTCTGCTTCTAATAAGCCAGATACAGAGGTCAGTTAGAAACCAAGAACAGCCAGGTGTGGTGGCGCACACCTGTAATCCTAGCACTCAGGACACTGAAGCAAGAGAATTGCTGTAAGTGCAAGGCCAGCCTGGGCTACAAAATTAGCTCAAGGCCAGCCTGAACTATATACTGAAACCTTGTCTCAAAAAGACAAAAAGAAAAGAGAAGAAAAATCCAAAAACACCCAGGCTTGGGTGGAAAATGTCTATAGTGAAATAACCCAGTGTTTGGAAAATTTACCAGAGGAGACAGACAATAATAGTATCAGGGTTTTAGTCAAACTTTTAAGGACCCTGCAATCTAGAGATGATTTCCTCAATCAATCCTACTTAGCTTTTTATTCAATACGTTTATCCACACTTGTATCATGCTTTGAAATAAATATTCTGGACTATTTGTCTCAGGCTATAGAGCCAATACATGATAAATGGAGTATAGAGTTGTCTATGATCCTGAGCATGGTCATTTTCCAAGACCAAGGGATGCAGAAGCATGTCATATACCATCCATGAAGGCCATCAGAGGAAACCCTTACCCCAAGGTACCACAGAGATGAACCTGCCATTCTAGTTCAGTGACAAATTTAAAAATTAAATGCAATTTCCAACTCAGTCATAAGGATTATTCCTATGAGGCATGCAGACAAGTGAAGGCCAGATGTCCTTGTTATAGGCTGAGCTTCTCCTTCGAGTTTATATGTTGAAGTCTTAGCTGCTACTACAGTACCTTGGAGTAGCAGTATGTTTGGAGACAGGCAATTCAGGCTATATGGACCCCTGGGGTGGCCCTAATCCAATGTAGCTCTTCTTATGAAAAGATTAAAACACAAATAGACACAAAGGAAACATCATATGAAGACATAGGGAGGAGACAGCCATCTCACAAGTGAAGAAGAGAGGCCTTAGAAGACGCCGACCCTGCTGACACCTTGATCTCAGCCTTCCAGCCTCAGAACTCTAGGGAAATAAATTTCCATTGTTTAAGCCACCGAGTACCTTGTTATGGCAGCCCTAGAAAACTAACACAGTTCCCCTGCTGAAGTGAATGCTTCCTCCGACTCTATCTTTCCAGTGTACTCCATCACCTTGCACATCATGGGTACATGTCTCTAGGGAACCTCCCCGGATTAGGTAGAAGCTGACATAGTCAGTGACTAACTGGGCACTCATTCATCACGACAGGCCATCTTCTCCCCTTTACCACTTTAATCTGTTTTCTAGTATACTATGAAACTTATAATCCACAGATCATGAAGGGCCAGGGATATAGCTCAGCAGCATGGTACCTGCCTGGCAAGCACATGGCCCTGAGTTTGATTCCCATTACCCAAAAAAAGAAGATCATGAAGATTAAAATAAGTAAACTTAGCTAGGCACTGTAGCATAGGCCTCTTGATCCCAGCTACTGAGGAGGCTGAGGTAGGAGGATGACTAGTTCAAGCAGCCTTTGCAAACTAGCAAGAGTCTGTTTCAAAATAAAAAAGTTCTAGGCATGTAGCTCAGTGGGAAGAGGATTCGCCTAGCATGTGCTAAGGCCCTGGGTTCAACCCTCATCACTGCAAATAGACTAATAAATAACAAAAGTCATTATAAAAAACATAGACATACAGGCATGCAAATACATATTCATTCATATAGTCTTGGTAGGAAAAACATTTCCTAAGATCATTGGATTTGAGTAAGATATGCATAAAGCAATGTAGATGCACATGTGCCTGTTTAGGTATTTTACACTAATTGTTTTAGGAGACACTGAGAGATAGACCTGTCTTATAGAAATGCATATAATCAGATATATTGAAGTAGGTTTCTCTCTGACACATGCAAGTACAGTACCCACCATCATCACAGGACAGTGGTTCTCAGGCCTATAGGTACATGAAAATCCCAGGGATACTTGTTAAAAATGCAGACACCGAGGACCCTCCCAAGAGAAGGCAACCACATATTTAGCATCACTGCCTTGAACAGGATGAGCATGGACATGTCCCCACCACAGTGGCCAGATTGCACCCACCTGGTAAATGGCCATGGCACAGTGTTCCTGCAACTGCTCATTCTCGCTGTTTAGGTTCTTTACTAGGTTTTCAATGATCCTTTCTGCTTTGATTGCAGCTCGGTAGTTTTCCTAGGAATAAAAGCTTATGTGTTTATGTGTGTATAACACATAAATATGAGTATCTACTTGCACTTATTGATAATTATGCTTAAGAAACTTTCTAACTAAATAAACAGTGGAGTCATGTCTATACAACAAAAAGAGAATTAATCAACACTGAAAAAACAGTATCACACAGGGATTGATTTACTTAATGTACTAGTAGTGACATGCAAGTATAGTACCCACTTAGATCTTTTGCTCTAACAAAAAGCTGACATTTTGGAGAAAAAAAAACCTTTACAGTCATAAGCTTAAACATTATTGTTTTGGCTAAAACAGGCAATGTAAGAAGGCAAAGGTAAAAGAATTGCTTCGGGCACCTCTGATGCACATTCTTGCAACGTCCCCACCACTGGAATTAGCATGTCTTCATGAGACGTCTTCAGTAACCGAGCCAATAGTGGGAAGCCCCCAGCTTTGCGAATGGCTTCTTTGTTGGAATAACTCTTACTGCAGCTCCACAGAGCCAGCGCCCCGCAGCGAGCCACTTCCACATCTCTGGTTTCATACAGACTCGACTGAGCAGGTTCTATTGAATTCTGGGCACAGTCCAGCAGGGAAACCTGTAGAAGAGATAAACGCAAGGCAGCTGGGTATCTTTAAAATAAAACTCACAGCATCCTTCAATAGCTGCAGAATTGCTACTGTACCTCCATCAAAACCAAGAACACTTTAAAAAATAACTTTTATATTATATAGTAGCCAGAGAAAATAAAGAAATAAACAAAACACTTCAAAAGACCTTTCTCTGGATTTGGGAACTCCTGTATTTCTTCCCACAAGAAACTTAATCTCCCCACAACAGTATTTCCTTAATAAGTCTCTAACATTTACATTATTAATACTTATAAATCACATTTTCAGCCCTAGTATCTTGGAAAATCAAGGTCCTGAAAACCATTAGAACTTTCCAATAAGAACTGAGTGGTTTATACACTCTCAAAACCATGAGACCTTTGGGAAGCATACAGGCTTCCACATGTGCCAGTGACACCTTTTTTTTTCCTTTTTGCAATAACCAAAGTCACTAAAGACTTTAACCAAAAGGCAATTTACTGAAAGAACTCAGCAGCATGTCAGGTTGCCCCTTGGTGGACGTGAAGTCAGGTTTTTCCCAAGCCGTGACTAGAATTCCTCTTGTAATTCCCCGAGCAACACTATTCATGTCAGGTTATACAGTAGGTGCTGGGAACAGCGATGAATGCCAGTCCCTGATCAGAGTAATATCACCGTCTTATGGTGCTGAGCATGGGCAGCAGAAAGGTGTCCTGTCTTTATCTGGGGATGTGACAGTCATCATCTGTATATCCATTCTGTTTTTCCTGCTGGCTAAATTCCACAGATCCTGCCTACTTAGTCATGACCGTCATCCCAAACTTAGAAGGAAGTAACTCACACCATGTTTACAGACTCATTCCCAAATCCAAATTCCTGACAGAGAGACTCAGTGGAACTAGCCTGAGTCAGGTAGAGACACCCATTAGCTAGTTAGTACAGTTATTACCATGATCCAGTTATTACAGGGAAAAGAGCATTCACACAGCTTACAGCTACTGACTACCAGTAGGACAGCAGTACAAGAAAGATATCTGAAACAATGGGCTTGAACACAGGGTGAATAACCTGAGACTCTCTGCTACAGTTACCCCTCACCTTCATTCCCCTTATCACATCCCCTAGGCTTGAGCATCATGGCCTCCAGTCTTCATCGTGTCCCCACCTATGTCATCCTGGGTTTGGCCACAGGAGACCACCTGCACTTCCAAACCCCTCCACGCTGTTTACCAGCTGGCCTCATTTTCTTAAAATGCTTTTCCCTCATGGGTCTGCCTAACAAATATTTTCTTTCTAAGAACTCAGCAAGAAACAGGCTTTCCAGGCTTCCTTGACCCCCCTCCTAGTAGAATCCATAGATCACCCTCCTCTGCTCCTCTACCATTCTCAGTTAAATACCTAAAACTTGCCATGACTCGTTTAGTTTCATCCATGTCCTCTCTGCTGTCTGTGCTCAGCACCACAAGACGGTGACATCACTCTGATCAGGGACAGGCACTCACTGCTGTCTGTTCTATAACCTGACATGAATAGTGCTCAGAGAATGTCTGAAATGTTTCTCAGTGATGCAGCAAGCGACACACAGACATGGGCCACGGCACTGACGGCATGAGGGTCAGCACATACCACATGGAGCTTGCTGTGTGTCCACTTGGACGCACTATCCCTGCTTGCTCACTTATCAGGGGCACCTCTTCAAGGCTGACCTCTGCCGGGTGCCCACATCCATGGTGGCCAGCCCTGCCATGCCCGCTTGGACCCCAACTCAAACTGCTGAGGCCATAACCAGCCCACTCTCTATGGGGTCGTCTCCCTCACTTACAGTTTTCACTGGGAACTCTTACCTGGTAAATGTGTAAAAACACATTTTTCTACTGAAATAATCAGAAATCATTTTCAGATGAAATCTCTGTGAATAATTTTTTATTTCTAGTTTATATCTCAGTATTGGTGGGGAGCACTTTAAAAACTGGCATCACAGATATCAACAGTTTCCAATGCTGTTATCATTTCATATAATATTAATATACATTGACTATACTGCTAACATTCTTCACAACAACAATACCAATCGCCAACTATAGATGTTCCTCATGGACAACTGCATGCTCTTTTACTGCCTGCACAGTGCTCCTACCCGGCTGTTTGCAGATCTGTCTTCTAACTCACAGTGAGGCTGTCTCCCAGGGAGGTCCTCACATTGAGACCAACACCTCGGATGCCAGGGCTCCTAACCCATGCTCCACCCAGTGGACCCGACCATCTCTCACTGTCTCTGCCCATACATACAACTGGATCCTTCCAATGCTACAGATAACAATTTAAAATTTTTCCTATTTCTTTGAAAAAGAAATATGAGTATCTTCTTGTAGCCACTTCCTAATACAAGTATAACAAAATGATTATTCTGAAGGATGGATAACAGAAAAAGATGACTGCAGAACATGCCCCTATGGCCGCTGAATGTCTGAAGTAAGCAGGAAGGCCAGAGGCAGCAGCTGTGTGGGTGGTACTCATGCGCTGCAGGTGACACCCTTGGTACTCACCAGCTTGGTGATGCCCCCGTGCTGTCTCACCACCCGGCGGGCTCGCTTAAACTTGGCAACATTTGCAATGGTCTCAGCTGCCAAACACTTCAGACTCTTGTAGGGAGAATCGAGTATATTAACCATAATTGGTAAGCCCCCAAGATCAACAATATTCCGTTGGATTTGAGGATTATGACTGATTTCCTTCAAGATTTTTAATGAACCAATCTACATGGGGGGGAAAAAGTGATAGATGAATGAATGCTTAATATATAACCAGTGCTGTGTTTTTAGAAATTCCAAGTCTACCTAAAACCCTTCCCCAATTAAGTTTTTTAAGAAATAGTTTCCATCCCCAAGGGTTATACACATCTCCTGTACTTTCCTTCATTTATGTAAACAAACATTCATCCCTCCAGAAGCGAAAGAACTAATGGAAAAGAGCAATGGAGAAAAAAATGTAGGGAGAATGCTACCGAGAAAAAAAATCTCAGTAAACTCTCTAGCTTCACTGCTCTTAGTTGACTTAAAAAATCACTAATTTTGAAAGTCATGCAGGGGCTGGGAATTTAGCTCAGCGGCAAAAGCGCCTGCCTGGCAAGCGCAAGGTCGTGAGTTTGGTTCCCGGTACCGGAGAAAAACCAAAAAAAAAAAAAAAAAAAAAAAAAAGAAAGTCATGCAGCCGGGCAATGCATGGGTGATCTCTCCCACTGGCTTTGCTGTGATGACACAATAGTTGCCTCAGTCACTTTTCAGAGATTTAAAGGCTGCTTTTGCTGAAAACAATGTCTCTTCAGGTGTTGGTTTGGGCTTTTTGTGCAAGGAGAACAATAATATAATACAGGATGTATATTTTATAAGATTATTTATAATAGTCACCCAAAGAATCATATACAAGAGAGTGCAGGAAATCTGTCCACACACTAAGACCAACGAATCTAGCTGAGGGTCTGGATCCCACAGAAATGTCCTACATGAGTCCAGCTGAAGACCTAGAGCTCATAACAATATCTCATGCAGGCCTGTTTCATGGATCTGTGCTGGGAAGGCCCAAAGGTCGGTGGTAGAATGTAGGAAGTCTGTGCCAGCAGGATGAAGGATCTGTGCTAGAGGCTGAGGGATCTGCACCAGAGCTAGGAAGTAACTTTTCTACACAAAGTAGAACCAGAGTTCCCCTGAAAACTATCACAGCCCTCCTCAGCAACAGTGAGGTCCTGAGCTCTTCCAGTGGTGAAGACAGCTGAGTTCCCATGAATCCAATGCAGCAAGCTTCTCCAGGAGACTGGCAGTGCACCATCTTCCCCTTGGGAGCCAGGAAGTGATGCTTAAAGTGAGGACCAGAGTTCTCCCAAAGTGAACCGAAGCTATTCTCAGTACCAACAAGGTCCCAAGCTCCTTGGAGGATGAAATAACCAAGTTCATCAGGAAAGCTAGCATACAAGGTCCTCTAAGAAAACGAATAGCTCCTTACAGCTTCTACCAGCTCCCAACAGCCTTACTTCTTCTCCTGTTCTGCCTCTTATGCTGCTGGCAGCATTCCTCAGGTGGGCCTCCCACACCCAGCAGCATGCTTACTCAGTTCAGCTGGGTGTTATAAACTGACCACCAATTGTCAATCCACTACATTTCACCTGGACCTGATCATGTCCAATAGGGTGACTGGAACAAAATAAAAAGACAGGCAAGACAGGCACGGCGGCTCATGCCTGTGATTCTAACACCCTGGGCTCAAGGACTGCAAGTTCCAGCCTAGCCTGGGCAACTTAGGGACTTAACAAGACCTGTTTCAAAATAAGAATTTTTTTAAAAAGGGGGGTAGAGCTGGGGCTGGGACTGGGCAGGGGCTGGGACTGGGGCAGGGGCTGGGACTGGGGCAGGGGCTGGGGCTGGGGCTCAGTGTGAAGACCAGGGCTCATTCTCCAGTACTGAAAATAAAAAAAATAAAAAAGACTTGCTATCATGGCCTCCACACCATGTCTGCCTCTTTTCCAGCCTTAACTTATGGGTTAATGACACCAACCAGCTTCCATGACTGGAAACACCAGATACAAAAGGAGTAAGAAGAGGTGGTGCCTGAGTTCCTGAGAGATCTCCCCCAATTCCCAGAAAATACAGGATTTCCTCCCCTTTATTAGCCTGTCTCTGTCCCTCTTGTTATTTCTATCTTTCACTTTTGACTCCTGCTTCTCCATACTTTAGTCACTGAATAAACTTTCTTCTTAAACTTCTTCTGTCTCCAGAGTAGCTGGCCTTATCAAGGGCAGCAGAATGTAACTTTTCTCAGTTATGAGTCAAGAAAGCAAGCCGGTTGGTTATCAACACTAACGGCTACAGGTGGCAGTGAGAAAGCAACAGCAGGCGTGGCAGCCACTCATGCTGGGAGACAGCCGTGAGGAGAAAGACTTATGCACTGTGAGAAAACCACTCACCTTACATTTGACTTCGTCTGTATCAAGTAAGTTTATTAAAACCTCAAGGCCTCCCACATCTCTGATTGCAAGCTGACAGGTCTCTTGAGCTAGGTTGAAGTCCCTCATGGAGCACAGCGCAATCACTGTCGCGGTCTGATTTCCTCCCTGTGAAGATGCAATGCCATAAGAAGGTTACATAAAACCGTGCTCCCATAGAAATTACAAAATGGTCAGTAGCCCATGAACTAGGAAATGTATTTCCCTTACATGGCATTATTAAATTTTTTTAAGTTCTCTGAGTAGGCTGTAGTTTGTTAACTGAATCATGTCAAGTTAAAGCAGGGAAAAGCTCCTTGGGGTATCATAAAGTATTATTCCAATTAATTAAAGGTGTCTCCTCTAAATAGCTGTCTGTCTCCTCTAAATAGCTGTAACATTAGGTGGTATTAATATATTAAGAAGATTCCAGGCCTGCTTTGAGAGAATAAGGAATGGAAGTTGCATGTTTAGGTAACTGAGGGTCCAGCCAGTTTTTAAACAGTGTGTTGTATAATATAATCTTTGCCCGAAAATTATTCTTACAGATTATATGGTTTTTGTCCCTGGCATATAACTCCTAACATCTTTCTGTATCTAATAAGTTGGTCATGGCTGGCTTCCTCAGTTGGATCCTGGATGGGAATTGGTTACCAGTAAGACCAAAGTATCACTGAGGAGTTGAACTCTCAGCTCCAACCCCTTAACCTCTCAGGAGGAAAGAGGAGCTGAAGGTTCGATTGATAAGCAATGGTCATTTCGTCAACCACGCCTGTATAATGAAGTGTCCACGACATTCTAGAAGACAGGATTCAGGGGGCCTCCAGGCAGCTGGGCACAGGAAAGCTGCTGGAGTCTGGTGCGCCATGGAAGCCTCAGGCCCTCTCCCCAGATCTTGCCCTGTGCATTTCTGCATCTGAACCCTCTGTAACATCCTTTATAATAAACCAGTGGAAGTGTTCCCCTGAGTTCTGTGAGGTGCTCTAGTGAAAACATCAAGCCTGAAGAAGGGGCTGTGAGAACCTCAACATATAGCCAGCCAGTCAAGAGCAGAGTCACAACCTGACGACAGGACCCTGATGTGTGAGGGGCAGCGATCTCAGGAACTGAGCCCTCAACCCATGAGATCCAACACTGCTCTCCGGGCAGATGGTGTCCACATAGATTGGAATTAGCAGATACCCAGCTGGCGTTAGCTGCCGTAAAACTCCTTCTTTGCGGGCAGGGAAAAGGCCCCACACCATTTGGGTCACAGATGAAGCCCCTGTGTTGAGCACTGTGGTGTGAGAGCCAAAGAAACACTTTCTCCTCCACAGCTGTTAAGGAAGAGTGTAGAACAGGTAACCTGGAGAACAGGAAACTGTCAGACAGCCCAGCAACGGTGAGAAACCAAGAGCAGGTAGAGCCAGGGCTGTGGGAAACAGGAAGCCATTCCAGGAAGAGCTGGGGCTGCGGGATGAAGAAGGAAAAGGAAAGCTTCACTGTCGTGAGGAACATGCTGGCCTCACAGAGACTCACTCACATCAGTGTCTACCTGACCAATGGCCACAGGCAGAGTCATGGTGAGCTGTTTCCCTAAAAACAAACACAACACCTAAGAGTTTTCTTAAAATGATTGATCAGTGAATTAGACCTGCCAGAGATAAGGTTAGAGTTCTCCACAGGAATTCCCAGGGACACCCATGGCATCACTGCTCCAACACTCTCCTGAAATCACAGCACTGTGCACAGCCCTTGACTATTGCCACTGAGGCGCACGGCACCTGGAGCGTGGCACAAACATTAATGTCACAAGACATTAATCCAGTATTTCTTTTTTTTTTCTTTTTTTGAGACCGGGTGTCACTATGTAGTCCAGGCTGGCCTCAAACTCGTAGTGATCCTCTTGCCTCAGCCTCCTGAATGCTGGAATTACAGGTGTGCACCACCATACCTGGCCAAATCCAGTATTTCTACTGGAACTAAGAATAAAACATTTTTGTAAAACATGGTCATGAAAGTCAGCCCTTGATTCCTTCTTCAAAACAGTTCCAAACTTTCACACTTGTTAATCATTTATGTTGCCATTATCTACCTTATATAGTATATGTCTAATTAATATTGCTACTATCGCCATGTTCCCTCCTGAACTCATGTCTTGTGTTGAGATTGAAATGAGTGTTAAGAGGTAACTGGGTAATGAGGGCTGTGCTTTCGTGGGTGGATTGATGCCACTGTCATGGTGGCATCGTGGGGCCAGTTAGTCACCAGGGATGGCACTGTCATAAGAGTGCTCTCTGAGTGCTCTCTTACCAGTGATGCCCTTTGCCATGTTCTGACACAGCAAGGAGGCCCTCACCAGACACCAGCACCTTGATATCGCACTGCTCAGCCTCCAGACAGTGGCATCAGAAAATGCCCCAGCATCAGAAAATGCACTGACACATAAAGTAGATAATATAATCACTATATATTAAAATATACATGTTATATATTTATGTATGTTTCTACATATTCAAATTTTAAAGCATAGATTTTATATATATATAATAGTACACATAATGGAACATGGAAATTACAGACAAGCTGCCAAACCCCTTCCTCTTTGGTATCACACATGTGCACGTATGCAAATCCTCTTGAGAAGTCAATATAATATATTACTTTTAAAATTTAAAATGTGATGATTAGGGGACATGCATCAAAAAGAGAGGAGGGAAAGGTTTAGACTTTCACTCCTTTTCAAGAACACGCCTTCCTCATCTCTAGGAATGCCATGAGCAACCGTCCAGTGGTGACATCTCCAACAATGTCCGCTTTCCATACTTGTCCTCCCCTCGTGGGTAATCCAGGCTGATCCTGTATTCAAGATTAAGTTTAGAAGGACTAGAGCCTTAATTTCATTATTTAAATTTAGAATGATTAGGCTTTATAGCTTTTAGTGTTTTTCTCCTTATTATCAGCAGAAATTTTCCATCACCATTTTGGCTTTACAGTAGAAAGTAATAAATCCTCCCTGTATTAGCTGTCAGGTCATTAACTCCCTTATTTGGTAATATGAAACTCCCCTATACTAGCACTATCCATTTCTCTTTTTTAAAATGGCAAATATTTTGTAAATCAAAAAGAAGGATGTGGGGCCAGGGATATAGCTCAGTGGCACAAGCACCTGGCTGGCAAGCGCAAGGTCCTGACTTTGATTCTGGGTACAAAAAAGAAAATAAGGATGTACCCGCTAGCCATAATTAATTAAAGCAAACAAAGTAGGTAGTACACAAAAAGGTAAAACAGAGAAAATAAGGAAAACAATTCCATCCTGTTCCTCTGAATTTAGATGGTTAAAGAGAGCCAGAAATTTCTTCTGGCAGTTTCTGAATGCACAGAGCTGGGTTCCTATATGAAAAATTTAAAACCCAAACCGAGAATTTCAAGGGTAGTGGTTCTTCCAGTGGAGTGCAAGGAGAGACAAGGCATCATCCTCAGTGGAACCCAAACCATCTCTTTCCCCAGCACTTCCTCAGCAATGAAGACTGCGCTCCTCCAGACCCCCTCAGCGGTTCAGGACTGAGGACTTCTTCAACTGCTCTTCTTGCTTTATACAATTTCATTTGGTAGCAATTTTCTGCCTAATCACTGTATGTAATCTTTGTTTCCAATTTCAAGTTGCCTTCATTTTTATTTTCTAGACTATGTCCACTTTCAGGTTTCATTTCACTATTTACACTGTAACTAATAACCTAACTTTTTTTAAGCCATGTTATTATAGTTGATGCCCAAAAGGTCAGAGGTTGTATTTTTTTAAACATCTAAATCTTCACCAATCTTGAAATTTAAAAAAACTGACACTTTGCATGTATCATGAAGCAGTTAGATCCTCATAGAAAAAAAAAAATCTGTAAATCGGCTTTTTCTGAAAGTCTGGAAACATATTCATAGGCTTGAGGGATTTTTTTTTAGAACAGTTTTATATTAGGAAAAGTTAGTTTTTCCACATTTCAGGATTTACTTCTCCTCTTGTCACTGACCACACTCCCAAAAGGATTATAAATCTTTCAGAATGAATACCAGAAGACGGGAGCCAAAATATTCAACATACAGAGCCACAAATGTTAGCCAATTGCTATTCTTTAAATACCAGCTATGTCAAAGGATTTTCAAATGTTCGTTCTACTCTGTCCAGATGCCCTAATGCTCCGAGGAGAAGCAGCACAAACTCCTGCTTCAGTTAAGGTCCCCTGAGCATGTAATTAGTTGCCAATACTTATTTCCACATTTTATCACGCATTTGCATTTGTGAGCTTTTAAGAGCTGGAGAAAACATAGTAAAATATTGTTTTACTAGCTTCTGAAGGACTTGGGAAAATGCTTCCAATAAACTTTTCCATTTCTGAGATGAACGCAACTCTTCTGCTAGTTGTCTTCCGGCCGCCCTGGCTCCACCTCAGACCTCTCTGCAGCCTCAGCCCATGTCTCCCTGTTCCCATTCCTCTCTAGGACCTGGAGGTGTTTGCTCATCATCACAGCCGGGTTTTAAACATGCAGAGACAGGATGAGTGCTGCTCTCTCGTGCCTTTCTTAGAATTTCTTTTTAAAAGACCAGATGAATTGAAGATATTTTCCTAAACAATTTTTGAAATAAGGAATTGTCACCATCCCTGGTGTAGATAGTAAGGCCACTTCTTTACTGTCAGTAAGAAGAAATACACTTTTTCTAAATTATGATGAACAGTGTATTCAAGAGCTTAGATCGATCACTTTTGTGCTCTTTCACTCAGCAGATGTGTCCCGCACTATGGGGAGACAGGCGACAGACACTCGGGATGCACCGATAACAGACTTGGCCCAGGCCTTCATGGAGCTTATGCTTTATTAGACAAGAAATGTTTTCACCTTTTAATCCAACTCAAGTAAATAAAAGCTATTAAGTCTGAAAAGTGCTCCAGGGGTATGGGGCTCTGGAAGCTCAGCATAGGGAAGGGGGCATCATCCCTGGAAGAATATCTGAGTGGAGATCTGGATAAAAAGCAGAGGCTATCCCTGACAGGAGAGAAGGAGACAACCAAGAAAATGTGCAAAAGCCCTGTGTTACAATTCATCATAGCTAAATCTTGGAAGCAGCCTATATGTCCACCAACAGATGGAAGAGATAA